ATAATTTTTAAATATATAAATACTGTAAATATGAATGCTTTACAGTGAAGTTGTTTGTAGTAAATACTATGTTATATTGATTATAGGCTACTTTTTGGCCATTTTGAGAATCAATTTAGTTTACATTATTACTTGATAAATAGTATATGCAGTATAAAGATTGTATTGCAATGTATTAAAACAGGATAAAAAATTAAAAATCTGTTGTTTATAACATTCACTTAAATCATAAGCTGTATTTCGACACCTTATATATTGCATGGATTTGATAAATTTTTATCAAAGCTTTTCTAATTATATCACTTTATTGTTATAACTTACGAGTGTTAAGATGTACCCAGAAAACTACTCAAGGCTTGTTTGGCTAGTTTTATCAATTTACTTTCCAAGAATTGCAATTAATAGCTGGCTCCCTTAAGTCTCGACTGTGGTATGAATTATGAAAAATGTTATTTTAATGCTATAATGCGTTATTAATACGTTAAAATAACCTCGCTAATGATGACGGGAGGTCCATGATGTACTTAAGGTCCAAATATATTAGTTATATTTAATAGTTTTTCCAAGAATAAGTAGATTTCTATCGGGAGCATTTCAGTGCAACACTTATCATGGTTTTGAGCACATTTTTAATTCAGAATGTCTGGTAAATAATTTTGAAAAATAAGTTAAGCAATACCTAGATACAGTGCAAGTAATTAATTGAATAAATAAAATGCTTAACAACAATTGTAATTAATAACATTAATTTTTCGTATAATTAATTATTTTGCTCTAACAAATAAATGTTTACTAGCATAGATACTATTGCGGCACTTTTAAACATAATTATTACATTTAAAAATGTTAATTAATTTAATGTTCAAGGCAATATTTGTTATAAAGTTACATGTGTTAAGTAACTTTGTGTCGTAAATTGTGTAACACAATCAGGGATTATTTAAGATGTTTATAGTGCTTACGAGTTTGAAAAATTAAAATTAATGTCATAATAATCCAGGCACACACACCATGATTAATCGACAGACATATGATTTGTTTTTAAAAAATTACATATTTGTGATAATTGATTAGATAACCGTTAGCTCAAGTACTTTGAAAATTCCTATAAATGCCGGAAAATGCTATGAAATAGTTATTACTTTTTATAGATTTTTTATAAAATTTTTTATAACTAGCTATAAAATAATCATAATGAATTCAATCTTTGTCTCACTATTGCTGACCGGTTTGGTAGTCGCTATTGACTGTAAGCGAGGTAATTATTGTCACCTAATCATGATAATATATTACAATTTACTCACAACTAATATATTAAATTAAATTTTGATTTGATATCTATAGAGGCTAAGTTTGCCCCGTACATCTATGTCCCCGATTCAAATGCGTTCAAACTGACCCAGATGAAACAGCAGTTGGGTGTGAGTGCCTTTTCACTGGCATTCGCACTGGGAGGTTCTGGTGGGTGCACTCCCATGTGGGACGGGGACATACCTATAGATAATGCCAATATTGTCAAAGAGATTAAGGCGTTCAAAGCGGCCGGCGGTTCGCTACTTGTGTCGACCGGAGGCGCCTCCGGGAACTACTTGGAGAACGCCTGCCGTTCCGTCAATGACCTCAAGAATGCCTATAAGAAAGTACTTTCAGTTACCGGAGCGTCGGGTCTGGACATTGACATCGAGGCCGTCATTCCCACCGATACTGTGATGCAAGCCTTGGCTGAGTTGCAGAAAGAGATCCCATCCCTCACCGTTAGCTTCACTCTTGAGGTAAGAAATTGTTTAATATTTGTGACAATTTAGAAAAATTATTTCTATACTCAAAACTCATAATCATAGTATTTAAGCAAGGCCAAAATTATAAAGACAAATGCTCCAGTTTTTAAAAGCCGTAATATTTATTAATAATATCACATATATTTAAAAACTTACAGTTTGTGTCAAGAATTATATAAACTAACCGGGCATAATTTTAAACAGTTCACAATTAATATTGAATATATAAAAATTGTACAATTAAACAAATAGGTGCAAGGTGACGACTACGGCCTGACCGACGCCCTGGGAGTGGACGTCCTAAAGAATGCGGTGAAACACGGCGTGAACGTGGATATCGTGAACCCAATGGCAATGGACTTCGGCGCCAGTGGTGGCCGTTCGTGGGGCGACGCCGTCATACATACCGGTGACTCAGTAGTGAAGCAAATGAAGAAAATATGGCCACAAAAGTCCGATTCGGAGCTCTACGGTATGCTTGGGGTGACCCCCATGTTGGGCGTCAACGACAATGGGGTGGTGTTCACTCTGGCACACGCACAACAACTGGTCAACTGGGCCAACCAGAAACAGATCGGTCACCTCGGTTTCTGGGATATTAACCGCGATAAACAGTGTTCAGATAATAGCCAGGTCGGTGCCAGTCCCACGTGCTCAGGTATCCAACAGCAACCATACGCTTTCACCAAGATCTTTATGGGATTTAAATAAAATTTATTTAATGCGATCATTGTACATTTTCATTGTATTATGATGTATAAAATTGTTGAATAAAAATTAATGATTTTGTTATAATAATTGTTGTCATATTTTTACTGAGCTAGCACATTAAAGTTTTAAAATATAGAGCGATAGTTTTTGTTACCAAATGTGTTTGCGGTAACTCTTAGTTAGCACATAAAATGTGTATTAAATATTTATTTACAGTTTTATTGGCTACATTATTAAAATAAATATTTTGTAATTTGCTTTTAATTGGTACTGTATTTATTATCTAAATTTAACAAATTTATAAAATTTTATCTAAATATGTCCTTTAAAATATCTTAAGTGTTTTCAAATTTAATGTCAAGTAGTTATTATTGTAAAATGTGATGGCTAACATTAATTATAACGTGTTATTTAATTGGCTTTTAAGATGACTTATATATTAATTTATCAAGATGTACTAAACCAAATTCAAGTGTTTAATCTTAATATTTATTACTCTCACTTACGATTAAGAGATTTGCCTAAGTATTTCATTTTTATAAAAACACTATAAATACAGACATTTTGTTTCAGAGTCACTTTACAACATTAATCAATTTTTTCTTAAAATTGTTTTAAATAATCAATTTCTAAAATGAACAAAATCTTAGTCTCATTATTATTTACTACATTTCTAATAGCGATAGAATGTAAACGGGGTAATTATTTTATTTTACTTAACAATTACCTAATAAATTAAATGTCTGAGCATTTATTAATATATTGTAAATATGTTATAGAGGCTAAGTTTTCGCCGTACATATACGTGCCGCGTACGGGTGAATTCAAACTGACCCAGATGAAACAGCAGGTGGGTGTGAGTGCCTTTTCACTGGCATTTGCATTAGGAGGCGCCTGTAACCCGATGTGGGACGAGAACCTACCCATCGATGCGCCCAATATTGTCAAAGAGTTACAGGCGTTCAGAGCGGCCGGGGGTTCACTGATTGTGTCGACGGGCGGTGCGAGCGGTGCTTATCTGGAAAATAGCTGCAAATCAGTCAACGATTTAGTGAATGCCTATAAGAAGGTACTTCAGGTTACCGGTGCCTCCGGTCTGGACATTGATATCGAAACAAACATTCCTATGGATAATGTGATGAAAGCCTTGGCTCAGGTCCAGAAAGACAACCCGTCGGTCACCGTTAGCTTTACGCTTGAGGTAAGGGTTTATTGAATAAATAATCTAAAAATATCTGAATCACAGAAAATGAAAATTATGGGAGGAATGTGATTAGACCAGGTTTAAAATAAAATAATAGTTATATTTATTATAACTTGAATTTTTAAATTTAATTACAGTTTGTCTTACAGAAGATTTTCACTTACATGTTTTTATGATTAATAATTAATTTATCTACATTAATCACTATAATCTGTTAAAATATTTGATAACAATTATAATAAAACTAGGCTATTAGTGCAGTACATGAACACTTTAAACATTTTGTTTAAATAATGATTCTTTATTAATGATAATACTAAAATATTTTCATTTTTATTAATGTTTGTTAGTATTCACTCTTAACTCTTGATTATAAATATTAGTTTTTATGTCAATTATTATTTACTAAAGTATTTTCATTTATAATTATTGTGTCAAAAGGTCCAGGATGACAGCTACGGCTTAATTGACGAGTTGGGTGTGAATGTCCTCAAATCTGCGGTCAGTCACGGCGTTAACGTCGATATTGTAAACCCGATGGCAATGGACTTCCCGGCCAGTGGTGGGCGTCCGTGGGGTGAAGCCGTCATACGTACGGGTGATTCAGTGGTCAAACAAATGAAGAAAATATGGTCACAAAAGTCGGAACAGGATTTATACGGGATGTTAGGGATCACGGCTATGATCGGAGTCAATGACAATAACGTAGTGTTCAGTTTAGATCACGCAAAGCAATTGGTCGACTGGGCCAACCAGAAACAGATCGGTCACCTTGCTTTCTGGGATATTAACCGCGATAAACAGTGTAGCGATAATTATAAGCCAGGTGCATCGCCCTCCTGTTCAGGGGTTCAACAGCAACCTTACGCTTACACTAAGGTTTTTATGGGTTTTAAATAAATGTTTTATTAATTTTTGTGCAAATGTTTTTGCTTTTGAAATAAAATATTTTTGAAAAAGGTGTCCTAGGCTAATCATTTAACCTTCTGTGTTTGAACTTAATATTAATACAATATTACAACGGGTATGATCGTACCTTAATGAGCGTGACGAATCATTAGATCATGGTAGTTTTGATATACCATAGTACGTAGTGCTAACTTAAAATGTTATTTAATACATAATGATAATAGCAATGACCGTACCTTAACGAGTGTGATGCATCATATGATCCAGGTTTATTTATTTTAAATCTCATACATTTATTAAGCCTTTTAATACAGTATGACAAATTGTAATGTTTTTTATATTTGAAGTATTTTAATAATTCAAGCATTTATATTATTGTTAAATTATTTAAATTTTTTAAATTTTCAAACTGTTTTTGATCAGGCTGCTTTTTCTCATGGATTGGATTCATATCTGATACTTACATTGACTTACATTGAGCTGAACACCTTGACCCAGGCCTCGACGTTAAATCTACAGTTCATAACCGCCCTTATTTATCCCTATGTCTAAGGCTTTCCCTTTCCATCCCTTACCATCCTTTCCATCCCTTTCCATCCCTTTCCATCCCTTTCCATCCCTTTCCATCCCTTTCCATCCCTTTCCATCCCTTTCCATCCCTTTCCATCCCTTTCCATCCCTTTCCAT